AGCTGCTCGGCCCCAGGCGCCCCCAAGTCAGCTGCTGCTGAAACTGACCAGCGCTGACTACAGGAAGCCTGAGGCAGATTTGCTCTGCCCTGGGCTTCCTGGAATCAGCTGCTGATCACTTTCAGCAGCGGCTGACTTGGGAACACCTGGGGCAGAGCAGCTGGGGTGCTGCCTGGTTGGTCCAGTAGCGCCGAGGAGCGGTGCTGCGGGACCAACCCAGCAGCACCCCAGCTGCTCTGCCCCAGGCGTGTCCGATTCACCCGCTGCTGGTCAGTTTCAACAGCGGCTGAATCTGGATGCCAGTTCCGACTTACATACAAATTCAACTTAAGAACAAACCTACAGTCCCTATCTTGTACGTAACCCGGGGACTGCCTGTATGAGGAAAGTTAAGTACCTGATGTAATTTCTAAAAGTGTAATTATGGTCAAAACTAGAAAAACTAGTGATCCAGTAACTGGTCCCTGTACCAGCCTCCAGTGAGTTGAGTGCGAAAAGGTCTTCAGAATCTAGTTCCTACTATTTAATGGACAAGTAACTTGCATAACTATAGTCCATATGACTAAAAATCACCTGGATTAGAACTGTTGAGGAAGAGATGACTTTCTAATCATAACTGTATATTTTCAGTTGGCTTTTTCTTACTTTGTGTGATGACCAACAACTGTCAATAAATTCTGAGATGTGAATATTTTTACTAGAAATCTTGTTGATTATGCTTGCAACAGAACATGATAGTCCTAGACCTGGAAGGGACTTCTAGAGGTCATCAGTTCCAGTTTCCTGCACTCCTGGCAGGACCAAGCACCATCCACCATCCCTGACAGGTGTTGTCCAACATGCTCTTAAAAATCTCCAAGGATGGTGATTCCACAATCTCCCTAGGCAGTTTTTTCCAGTGCTTAACCACCCTGTTTTTCCTAATGTCCAACCTAAACCTCCTTTGCTTTAATTAAAATCTATTGCTGCTTGTTTTCTCCTCAAAGGTTAAGGAGAATAATCTTTCACCTTCCTCCTTGTAACAGCCTTTTAGTGTCCCCTTTCAGTCTTCTGTTCTTCAGACTAAAAAACCCAATTATTTGTTTTCCTTCGTAAGTTATATTTTTTAATCCTTTAATCATTTAGTTTATCTTGTATAGCTAGTCTGCAGTTTACATTGGCTCTACTGCTTGTAACAATAAAACCAGACAGGGAAATGTAAACCTGTTAGGAGCTTCATTTAATCTGTTTTGCTCAGTGCTCATATTTAACATTCTAATGAGCCATAAATTCTGATTTGGCTTTTCTTTAAGATAAAATTTATCAGAATGATTAATTATAGGTATTTCATTATTGCACTGTGCTTCCAAATACCAGTCCACACTGCCTTGAAGGATATGCCCAATAAAGTAGTCTGTTTTGATAGTTACGTCTGCTAAGGTTTTTGTTTGTTTTCAGTGTGCTTAGTCATATATAGCCTCCTACAATCTTATTCACAAAGTATCTACATTGTATTTCAAATGAGGAAAGTATTTGTCTTGTATTTTATTTATAGGGCACTTACAAACTTTGCATCTAAGCAGATAATGAGGTGCCTGGGTCAAAGGTTTTAAACAGAAAAGACCTCAAGTATTTAAGCAGTATCTAGCAGGGATATTCGTGTCCCCTTATCTGTAAAGATAACTAATGTTTGTTTGAGACCACCTGTCCCTGAACTCTCTATGCAAGAACTGAATCAACTGTTTAGGACCAAAACACTGGCTGCACACAGAGCTGTGTGATGCTCTCTTACTCAATTTAATCTGCACAAAAGCCTGATCCACCTGGGAGATTGATTTAGTGGGTTTTCACTATACCTGCTAAATCGACTGCAGATTGCTCTCCCATCGACTCTGGTCCAGCACTGAAATGAGAAGTGTAAGATAAGTTGACAGGAAAATTTCTCTAATAGACCCAGTGCAATAAAAGTTGACTGAAGCTAAGCTGACTCCAACTAGGTAACGTCAGTCGACTTAATGCCACAGTGTAGATCTACCCTTTGTGTAGAATAACACTGTCCACAGCAGCATTTGCTAGTTGGGTTTTTTCCTTATGAAGAAAAGCACTTAGTAAGGGCTTGAAGTACAATAGTTTTGGAAATGTTTAGAACTTCATTTGAACCGGAGTATCCTTTTATTAAATATCAGATTTTCCAAAGGATTGCTCCCTGATTGCTATCTTCATAAGAGCTTGCCTGCAGAATTCTTACATATAATTTTGGCTCCATGAAAGCTGTTGCAGACTTTTGGGTGTGGTGTCATTTAAAACTCAAAATATGAGGCCAAGGGCATTTCTGCATTGAATATTTGTTGCCATCAAGTGCTAAACAGACATAAAATTATTAGCACCGGTCCCCAAATAAAAGTTGAAAAACTGTGTATAACTCTTAGTACATTATTGTCACAAAGTGGAAAAGTGCTCTGGGGTCTCCAGCACCTTCACTTGACATTATTGGTCTTTCTACATGGGAACTCACTTACCAAGAGAACATTGTATTTGTCATGCTTATATCAAAATAGAACTTCTTCCTAAATTGCATCAGATGGTTTTGTTCATTTCTGTTACTGGGTATACTAGAGTAAGATCATTCTGCTGTTGCATCTGGCTGTTGTCAGAAGACTTTATTAAATGTATTGTTTAATGTTTTGGAGAAACTCTTGCTAAGGGAGCCCTCTTCTATTTTGAAGACAAATGTTAGAAGCATCCATTTTTACTTAAAATGACATGGGTAGAAATATTTGTAAGCCTTTTGCAGATTTTACTTCTTAAATACTGAGGTGATAGAAGCCACACATGGATTCCTGCATTGTACCTGCTTTTTGTTTGCATAGCTTTGATGTATATCTGTGAGTTTGTCTAAAAAGTATGTTAAAAACCGTCCAAAATGTTTGTAACTTCCCGTTGGATAGAGTTAATGTTTTCCTTAAAGCCTTCAACCTAGAGTAAAAACCTTATTAAAATTAACCATCTCCTTTCTTAGGCCAATGTGATGCTTGAATATGATATTGATGAAGCTCAAGCTCTGTTAGAAAAGAATCTGTCTACTGCCACAAGAAATCTCGAGTCACTAGAGGAAGACCTGGATTTTCTTAGAGATCAGTTCACCACCACAGAAGTTAGTATCCTTTTGGTGGAATGGATGTGGGGGAGAACTTTCATTTAAACTTTGGTATACATTTTTCTCACTTCTACACAGATAAATATTGTTTAGAAAGAGAAATGCATTATTCAGCTTTGCTTACTCACTTTCCCTAAGAAAACCAGTGGATGGAGGGTTAACACGCAGGGGACTCGAAGGGGCCAATAGCATCACTCCCTATTTGAACCCCCAGATTTAATAGTTGAGGTCTGCTTATAGCCTGTGCCCTGACTCCAAAGATAGTTCTTAAATGCAACAGTTTAGGCTGCTTTCAGCTTTGCCTTTGGGGCAGGGACTTTGTTATAAAAAGAGGGAGGGGCAAGGTGATTAAGAATAACAAAAGGCTGGTTATATAGGTAATTGAAGGATCGTTAGACCATCAAGAAAACCTTGCCAGGTATTCCACTTAAAAATGGGGGGGGAGGGGAATATAGGAATGAGTGTTGTGTTGCAGGGATTTGTATTTGGAACACTACTGTTAAACTTCTCATAAATGTTCTTGGGGCAAACAGTGACTAATCCAAAGCTGACTGCAAAGAGATACAAAGGGATCTCACAAAACTGGATCATTATGTTGCCCAAAGGCAGATAATATTCAGTGTTAAGTACAAAGTAATGCACATGGGAAAAATACAATCCTAACAGATACAAAAATGATGGGGTCTAAAATAGCTGTTACCACTCAAGAAAGAGATCTTGGAATCATTGTGGTGAGTTCCCTGAAAATATCTGTTCAATGTGCAGTGGCAGTCTAAAAACTAAAAAGCTAACAGAATATTTGGAGTCATGAGGAAAGGAATAGATAAGACAAAATACCATCTTGCCTCTATATAAAATCAGTATATGCCCACATCTTGAATACTGTATGCAAACCTGGTGACCCCGTTTAAAAAAAGATGTATTGGATTTGGAGAAGGTACAAAAAGGGCAACAGAAATGATTAGGGGTAAGGAACAGCTTCCATATGAGGAGAGATTAATAAGACTGGGACTCTTCAGCTTGGAAAAGAAATGACTGAAGGATGGGGGGATATGTTAGAGGTCGTCAAAATCATGGAAGGTATGGAAAAATAGAATAAGGAAATGTTAATGATTCCTTCTCTACTATAACACAAGAAGCTGAACCAATTACATTTAGAGGCTGATGTAAAACAAACACAATACATTATTTTTTCACAGTCAACTTATGGAACTCTTTGCCAGAAGATGATGGAAAGGCCCAAACTATAGCAGGGTTTCAATAAGAACAATATAAGTTCAAGGAGGATGGGTTTATCAATGGCTACTAGCCAGAATGGGCAGGGATAGTGTCCCTAACTTCTGCTTGCTAGAAGCTGGGAATGGGCAACAGGGGATGGATCATGATGATTCTCTTCTGTTAGTTCTTCCTGAAGCACCTGGCATTGGCCACTGTCAGTAGACAGGATACTGGGCTAGAAGGAACTTTGGTCTGACCCAATATGGCCATTCTGATTGTCTTATACAGAGGTGAAATGTATCTGTGCCTGGTGACAGTGACAGAATCGGCAGTGTCTGCAGTACAAGGAACAGGGGCGGGCACATGTTTCTGGTGGCTCGATCGTCCCAAACACGCTTCCCGCAACAGAAAGGACACGGGGCAGCCGCCCACTATGCAGCCCCACCCTAGCCATGGTGAGGCTGCCCCAATAGGGACAGCCTCACCATGGCCCGGCTCCAGCCGCAGCACATCAGGGCAGTCCACAGCGCCACTCACTGTGGGAGGACGGGAGGAGAACTTCTTGTTCATGCGCAGGCAAGCACATTATAGGGAATGGAACTCCCCAGTGGGCGCAGCTCATTAGCAGCTAGGGGCCTGGCCTAGCAGAGTGCCATGGCCCACCAGTCCGCGGACCGGTGCTTGGGAGCCGCTGATCTGTGCTCATTGCTAGTTGAAGAATGTTGCTGTAGTTATTTATTAGTTCTGGAGGGGAGCTGTTAAGGTTTCAAATTTTGCCAATGTTAGACATTCAGTGCTGAAAAATTCATGAGTGGCTGAAATGGGCAAATGTTGCAACCAATTGAGAATAAGTTGTAACCGGAAGCTGTTTTAGCTTTGACATATAAGAGTGGAAGTAAACACAAAGGGAGAAATGTATGTGCAAAAATAAGTACTTGTTAACATGTAGCTTGTCTGAACGAAGGATGGGAAGTGACCATGTATAGCTTCTCCATTAGTTGTCAGAAATTCCACAGCATCAAGGTTCTGCACTGGAGACAGCTGTTCTGTTAATCAGTTTCTATATTGTTTGTCTGCATCACTGAAACAAGCAAAGTTAACTTGAGTGAATCTATGTGGATGGTTCTGCAGTTAATTATCTTTTTGCATTGTAGCAGCTTCCTTAACTATGCCCTCAGATATGGCTAGAGTTTATAATTGGGATGTAAAGAGAAGAAACAAGGATGATCCTTCCAAAAACAAAGCATAGTTCTAGCAATTTTAAATGTTTACTATTTCCAAATACTTTTATTTTAAACACCCCCAAAATTCATCCTGAAGGGACTAAGTTAATAATTTCAATAAATGATAAAATATATAACTCAATAATAATGGTGAGCACCATTTTATTTATTTGTAAACTCACAATTTGGTTTCATGCATGCTTCATGAAATTATGAATTATTTGAAAGGATACCACATGGTCCGGCAAAGGACATAGCATTTTTACCAACTCAGTCCATTTGTCATAAGTAAATTCTTACTTGAGAGTTTATCTAAAGATGTGAGGTGCATGTATGAAACTGAGGTTAGGACATTTTATTGTACTGTGAGGGTTTCCTTTCATATTTGCTGATGTGTTGTATACACTTGATGAGGTAAACTTTTTGGGGTGAGGAAGACATGCAGCTGATATTTTAGCAAACAGGGAAAACAGTAAAATCCTAGTTTTTCTTTTAGTCAATTACTGCTTTGGCAACATCAACCCACAAGCATTCCCAGAGATCCACTTTGGATAAACTTGATTATCAAGTTTGGGTTAGCCAATTGAGAGCTACTGAATTTTCTGCACTTTACATATAACAGTTCAAGATGTCTTCAGAAAAGAACACTCTGCGGGTTTCATTCAATGAACAGCACAAGCTATGTCAAGACTGCAGATTCTCACCCAATCCCCTATGACTGACTGTCTCTCTCTCTCTCACACTCACACTCACACTCACACTCACACTCACACTCACACTCACACTCACACTCACACTCACACTCACACTCACACTCACACTCACACTCACACTCACACTCACACTCACACTCACACTCACACTCACACTCACACTCACACTCACACTCACACTCACACTCACACTCACACTCACACTCACACTCACACTCACACTCACACTCACACTCACACTCACACTCACACTCACACTCACACTCACACTCACACTCACACTCACACTCACACTCACACTCACACTCACACTCACACTCACACTCACACTCACACTCACACTCACACTCACACTCACACTCACACTCACACTCACACTCACACTCACACTCACACTCACACTCACACTCACACTCACACTCACACTCACACTCACACTCACACTCACACTCACACTCACACTCACACTCACACTCACACTCACACTCACACTCACACTCACACTCACACTCACACTCACACTCACACTCACACTCACACTCACACACACCTTCTTTGCAGAAATATAGAACTAGGCCATCAAAATGCTAATACACTGTAATAGAAGAACATCCCCAATTACAGCCCTTAGACAAGAAGATGACTAGTTCAAATATCTTAAGCCTCCTAGGTAAAACCTGTATTAAATATGGATAGTCTCTTTGAGCACAGCTTCTGTTGCTAAACAGGCTGAGTATTTTTTTCCAGTTATAATGAAGCCTCACAAGATTGTTGCCTTTACCTCTGCAGTTTCCTCCTAAAACAAAATGCACACCTGGTGATGAAATTAGTGGTTAGTATTTACACTGCTGAGTAACTGGTAATACAAGTTTTGCTAGAAAATAAATGCAAATGTTAACTGTTCTATCTTCATGTAATAAACAATATACCTGTAAAGTTTTTGTACTTTTATTTCATGATATTAAAACAGTGAAACTCAACACTTGTGGCAAACATCTCTTTTTGTGAATTTTTCTTAGTCTTGCACCTAAACTTGGATAATTCTTTAATCCCTTGGGCTATGTCTATACTGCAGGCTTCTTGCGCAAGAGTTATTCCTCTCCCCAAAAGGAATAAGCTCTCTTGCGCAAGAGCTCTTGTACAAGAAAGCAGTGTGGATGGGCCTAGGGGTTTCTTGCGCAAGAAACCCCTAGGCCCATCCACACTGCTTTCTTGTACAAGAGCTCTTGCGCAAGAGAGCTTATTCCTTTTGGGGAGAGGAATAACTCTTGCGCAAGAAGCCTGCAGTGTAGACGTAGCCTTAGTGAGGGGAGAGAAAATGTGGGTATAGCAACAAGTAACTAAATTGGCTAGACTGAAGAGGGGAAAGCTATGTCAAGACAGGAAAAGGTTACTGTAAGCCCAATATGAGACTTCCAGAATTTGAGTGAAGATAGAAGAGAGGGAGATTGTTAGATGCCTGATTACAATTGGGCCATCTTCTAATTGGGAGTAGTCCAAGCTAATTCCATGATTTCAAGTTTGAGAGCTGGGGCAAATAATTCAATTGTCAGAGGTGAGAGAGATTAGGAGGGGAAGTGAAAAGTTTAAGATTTGTCACATTTCAACAAACCAGTGGAGATGAGGGTAGGTAAGTAGACTGCAGTCTTGAGAAAGAAGTGACACTGACAAGAGACTAATGAAAATAGGTACTCTAGACCCACTTTCTTACTAAAGTGCAAAAGTTAAATGTGTAGGGTGCCCAGTAAGAACCTGATGTAAATTATTTCCTAATTCCTAACCTGATTTGAGTCTGTGCGTGTCATATCTATTGCACTAGTTGCTGCATCTTACCTGTTTCTCATTCATTCTTCGCTTTCCTAACACTTTCTTCTGTACTGTGAACACAGCAATGTGTCTCTTCTCTTCCAATTCCCTCCACTTCTTCCCTTTCTTCAGTTAACTCCTTTTGGTTTTGCCAAAGTTTTCTTCCATGTGAACGTTCTGACAGGGAAAATTATTTTAATACACTTGGAGATCATAGGCTCAGTGCTGTGGGTGAGTAGGCTCTGGAGTTTGGGCTCATAGTTTTATGTGAAGGAGAAAGATAAAATAACTGATAGGCTATACAATTTCACGTAGTAATTCCTATGTTCTATATAAGAGTAGTTCCCAACCTATTTTATAGTGGGGACCAGCTGTTTGTGGTGTTACCGGTCCACCAAAAGCCCCGGTCCCCAGAGTAGCCACGAACAGCCAGTTTCAGCTCCGTCAGTTGTCATGAGGCGGGTGGCTGTTGCAGCTGAAGCCAGCTGTTTGTGGTGGCTCTGGGGGCTGGGGTATACCCTGTCCCCAAAGCCCCCCAGTGCCAGCCCTAACTCCTAGAGTCCCCATCCCTCTGTTACCCCCCAGCACCAGCCACTGATCCCAGAATCCCCTGCACCCAACCCCCCCCCAGTGCCAGCCTCCTGCCCTCAGTGCCAAACCCCTGCTCCTTAGAGCCCTCTACCACCAGATGCCCCAGTGCCAGCCTGTTTCCAGAACCCCACTGCACCCAGCCCCTCCTAAAATCCCTCCCAATATTAGCCCCATCCCTAGTGCCAGTCCCCCACTTTTTAGTGCCTGTTTCCCCCAAACCCCTCACTTAGCCCTACACTGCTTCCCAGACACCAGCTGAGCACTGCTGCCTAGGTTGCAGCTGCTCTAAGGCTGCACAGAGAACCACTCTTCCACGTCTGGGAGGAGACCCTGCCCCTGCCTGGCACTGGTTGACTGAGAGGCAGGACAGGACACACCTCTCCCAATAGCCATGGTGGTATACATCAGCCCCCAGAGCCACCATGCCTCAACAGCTGCCTGTGGACCGTGGTTAGGAACTGCTGACATACAAGATTATAGTATATTCTCAAATCTGGGAACCTAAAATTCACCAGGACACACATCCCCTCTCTAAAAGCAGATTTCAGAGATTGTTACTCTTTTCCCTTGGTGCTTTCCTTTCCTTCCCCTGGCTTCCTCTGTCAGACTTGATTCATCAGTGACTGATTAAGTTTTGTTCCCGGAATGCAGGCCTCTCTGCTGACTGCTAATGAACTTTACTGCCAGCAGAATAGCTCCCAGTTTCACACTGCTGATAAGTTGAGTAGCCTGAGTATGGCTCTCTAGACTGGTCAGCAAAGGACCAGAGCTGGGAGCAAAATGCCTCCAGGGTATCAGGTAGTCTGAAAAAGCTCTGCTGGGTCCAAGGAACACATCTTTTCTGAAGAAAAAATTTGGAAAAGCAGACATGTTTTTTCAGTATCCTTGTAAACCTAGTTCTATGAGGAAGAAGGGATGTTCTGAAAGAGACTACTCCTCCCCTTCTCCCTCCCCCAACATTTGGCCCAGTCTAGATGGGCCAAATGTTGGAAAAGCCTCTTTCAGAAGAAAAGTGGAAAAAGATGCACAAGTTGTGCATCTTTTTCTGACTTTTCTTTGTAGTCCAGACACAGCGGCTGGGTCTACATTGGCACCCTTTTCCGGAAAAGGGATGCTAATGAGAAGTCGGAATTGCAAATGCTGCGGGGGATTTAAATATCCCCCGTGGCATTTGCATGAACATGGCTGCCGCTTTTTTCCAGCTCGGGGCTTTGCTGGAGAAAAGCGCCAGTCTAGACGGGATCTTTCGGAAAATAAAGCCTTTTCCGGAAGATCCCTTATTCCTGATTTCAGCCTGTGCCATGGGACCAGGATGTTTCTGATCAGCTTGCTCTCTAGTTCAGGGGCAGCAGTTCTTTGAGCTGGGTTTGAAAGTTATCAGTCAAACCAGGAGACTAGATGGCTAATTCTGCTTCTCTCTTCTCAGGCTCCCTTGTACTTGCCAGAGAGACCCTGTTAGC